CAAGGCAGACAATGACAAGCAAATACAGCTGTATTTTTATAATCATGCTTTAGCATGAGTATTAGGCGCTCTCGAAGGGKATTGGGGCATGCCGCTCCGTCCCAATCTCCTTCRAGAGCCTGTACTAAGTAAAAGTTGTTTTTAAAAGATTCTCTTATATCAGTTTTCAGCTTGTCACTATAATACATATAGAGGGTAGATGCCTAGATCAATGCAAAACTAAGGAAATACGTAACCATCCTCAGATCAACCTCAGAACCACTGCACAAGCAGTGCGTGAAAAAATTAAACTTACTGTCTACATGCATGTATCCTCAGAGGAAGGTTGTGCGGGGCTTATCCACAAAGCTAGAGAAACACTGTCTTGTAGCAATATGGCCAGCAAGACCATGATTCATTGGGTTGGGACAGCGCACGCATGTGCAAGATAACTGCTGACCAGAAAGCAATGCTCCAATTTAACTTTGTTTGAATATTAAGCACATTAAAATCATTTATACATAAGATGTACAGAGAACGTATTGGATGCTGTTGAATAGTTTTAATTAAAACGCAGCTCTGTAATTTTACCTCTAGGTGAAGATGTCATGTTTAAGTCAGTTTCCTGAAGACCTGGATGCRATGAACCAAGCTGTAGCATTCATGGTTACACATGGAAGACAATTGTTTGAGGTAAGAAAATAATAAATTAATCGATATAAAATTTATGAAAATAAATGTAATGGATTGTACAAAATATTCACATAGAATACTATACGTGCTTAAATCTCAAAATGTTTAACTGTGTTATGGTTGCGTGTTGCAAAATTTCCCATTTCTTACGCAGATTCCAGATGTACTTAAGAAGGAGCTGAAAGCAACCAARAGTAATGCAAGTGGAATGGTAAGAAAATCTGGTAAAACTAAAGACAGGAAGACAGTCAGGCAGGTTAGACTAGTATTAACATCCTACGATGTACAAAGTAACTCTATCTAATATGCCAGAAGCGAGAAATTGAGAAAAAAAAATTGCGCTCTGTCCCCAAGTTCCACGGCTGTTTACATCCAGTCAGGAACTCTTGTAGTGTTGGATTGCGTCATGAGAAGGTCATATTTTTCTCCTTTCATCATGCTTTGCGGCACTACTTCAGAAAAGCGAGAGAGACGACTGGGGACAAGCCATAATAACGGCTGCAAAGAGTGCGTGATTCGGCAATTAGTATAAAATCCAAAAATCGCCGCAACGGGTGTGGAAATTATCCAAGTGACCGAAATTTTCTCGTTAACGAAAGGAGAGCGCGAGACTTTCATAAAAAATTGCTCTAAACTATCGAGAATGTCCCAAGGTTATTATGTATTGTATCATGTGATTCAACATGTGACTTCCCTTAGGATGAAGAAGACGCACCAAGTATGACGCACACATTTTGTCAACCAATGAACTACAAAAGACACAGGCAGGTCGTACAAGACAACACATCAGAAGCACTAGTAAACCTGTATAACCACGTTATGGACATGCCTGACGGACCTGTTAAACAGAAATTCCTTGAAAAGGTATATACGCGACGACATTGTCACACAAACTTTAGTCTTCATAGAATCGTTTCCGGGACGTTTAACTATTCAGATATGCCATAATATTATCAATAGTAAACAAGAATGTGTACAAAAGTAGCCAAGGCTGCTATGATACATTTACTCGATTATCAATAGTAATTTATTGCTAAACGTTTTCGTACCGTTCATTGCTACCACCTTTGCTTCCTTGGAAGTAGGTCATCCAGCTCGTTTCATTCMATGATTTTCTACTTTCGTCCTCCAAATAGTCTTTGGTCTTCCTTTCAACTCTCTGGTGCCCAGCCCAACGGCAGTCATGGCGTAGTCCCCTTCAAGCATATCCATGTCCACTGCCCATATTACTTAGACACTGATGCAGTGGKTAATTAACTATATACTGTAAAACATCCTTAGTTATCTTAGACCTCTAATTGTTTTTTATCAATGTTATCATTATTAGTATTATTATTTTTGTAACGAACAGTTTGAGAAGTCAAACCCTGGTACTCCGCCATTTATGCCCAAGTCAAGATGCAGGGTATGTTAGATATCATTATCAACAACAGTTGAATGGATGTTTTATAACGCGAGAGAACCGAAAGAAGAGACAACTATATGAGTGTAAACATACAAAACTCAAAAGCAAAAAAGTCGTACATAAAAAAGGAAAACGGAAAGAGTTAATTAAAAAAACAGAATTGAAGCAAGAAACAAAAAGCAAACAAGAAACAAAAAAAATGAATATAAAAAGTGTTAATGTATGATTTAATATACTATGTTAATATTACACACTAATAAATAAAATGAACGCATTGTGCGAAATATGCGCAAAACAATCAGACTACGATTCGAATTGCATGTTTACACGACCTTCTGTGTTACTGCATGAGCAAATGTTTTTAACATAAGGTCATTATTCCAGGCCAGCAAGTTACACTCATCTACACCGCTATCAACATATTCACCAGCATCRTTAGCAAGATATCCTCTYTCTCCWATCAACATGGACGTAACAGCTACAACGTGTAAGAAAGTGGCCTTCAAATCACCACAACCACCTTCATCTACTGCCACAAAAATGGCTTTCCATAGGTTTTCACCTTAYAAAAAYACGATGAARACACCATCAGGTCTCATTTCACCTCACAAGACACCAAAAACACACGGTTAGTATCTCAATACTAGTTTATTATTATGGTAATTAAGTAAAACGCGTGAACATATGTTGTATAAAGGAAATAAAATGTGGCCTTACAGAATTTAAAAATCGTTGCATCTCCGAAACTCTGACAAATTGCGGGTTTACAAAATATATTTAATAAAAGTATAAAAAAAAATTACCGTAATGAACTGAAACTTCTACAGGCTATTTAGGAAAATAAGAAGAATAATTATGTTTTTTAAAGTTTGAAATAATTTTATTCATATTTTCTGATTTTACAGTAAACTTTTCGTTTTCTCTCAATGAAAACCTGCCACGTCCAGTGCTTGGCCTGCCTGTTATTGCGTGCGGTTTTGAGTTTTATATCTCTTATTGAAACATCCTTGACGTCGTAATCTTTTCTTTGTAATACACAATACAAGTGGACTGCAAAGTTTGAATAATTTATGACGTCCAGACTGTCAATAAGAGGACAAGTCTAAACTATTTGCATTTTTAGTTTGTAAAAAATCATTATTTTCTTTCAACTSAAYGCACTCGCGTCRTGGGATGCGAGCCAGCACATGTTGAATG